CCGGTGCCACCTCGTCATACCGTCGTTTGACTTCAATAATATGCAAGCTTACGTGTATCTCTGCTCCTCACCACCCCTTGTTTATCGGCGTGGCCCCGTATTCAGAGCCCCGAAGCGCTGGGTGTCACGGCTCTTACATTACACTACGGCGCCCTCAAGTTGGCCGAATCATTGCTTTAAACTCAACAAAGCAGTCGAAGAGAGGCAAATTGCGCAACGCCCTTTTGTCCCTGTACTCGGCTCTTGAGCACTTGAATTTCTCCCTCTTGAGTTGCCTCCTTTCACCTCGAGGTACAGGGCACGACGATTGACGCATAAATACATCAAATAGCCACGATACGCGAATGGAACATGCTCTACAGCTCAAGCCCTATCTACTCGAGGACGCACTGCCGAATGTTCTCCGTTGTCAACGGACGTCGGACAATGTTCGTTGATCATCGAGACGATCTGGTCAAAAACGATATCTTTCTTTGTAAACTCCCATATACTCGCGCCATCGACGAAGTTCCTGATTGCGAGGTGAATTTCCCGTTTCTCTAATGATTCACTGTAGACACGGAGAGTCTGCATCGCCGACTCGTCTGATAGATCATTGCGGTGTTGCATAAGGTCGAACAGGCGGTGCATGATGATTATGAGGCCGACGATGTACCCCATGAGGCATCGGACAGTCCCTGGCCTGGCGAGAGATCAGGAATAGAGTTAACAACAGAAGTTGAATACGCACGTTTTCCGGTAAATATCATATACCCAACTGGCCAGCAACACCCCAGCAACTATCGGTGCAACGATGGGAGCACCGGGATGCGCAATGCTACCTACGAGACCGACCGCTGCTCCCACTTTTGGGACTATGGCCATACTGGTCACTTCGTCAGAATATACAAACGAGAACTCAATAGTAATTGCCCACTCACACCCTGCCGTTCGGATCTATCGCCGCTGCATCTGCATCGCTGAGGTCCTCCACGACCTTGGAGAACTCGGCCTTGAACTTCGGTTCTAGCAAAAACTTGTCGGACATCAGCAGGAATCCACTGGGGACAGGTCAGTGATATGCACCACTTCCAAGCCACGGATATTCCAGATCCTGACGATGTCTTTATGAATCACAACCAGACATTTTTCTAAGGTCCTCCCGAAAAAATGAACGCTTGACCCTAAACCCCTCCAGTATTCTGGCAAGTGAAATGTCAGGTCTGTTGTCCCGCGTGACAAAGTTGAGGCGCATACTCTTTCGACCAACGCTAGTGACGGAAAACGGGATTATCAAGCGGGACTTTCGATCCACAGTCATCTCCGCTCACATTATGGAATTGTGGATTTTTAGATCTGAATTCACTCGCTGCGCCGCGCCGAAGGCAATAGCAGCCGGGTCAACTACTTCGTACCCGTCGTTGGGCGAGGGCTTGGGGGAGGAAGGACGCCAAAAAAGGAGGAAAGAAAATGGGGATTTGCGATGTTCATCGGGTATTGTGCATTCCATGGGGTCCTGTGTGAGTTTCGCAAGAGTGCGAAGCGAGTCCTCATATCCTGACTTGGCTATAGATGACGAAAAGTTAACACGAGAAGGGTTGGTTGCAAAAATCTGACGCACTGGATAAGGGGACGTAAGCGATCAAACGGTTTTTCGTTTTGTTCTGTTGTAACGGCAGAAGACAGATCTTATCGAATTCTTTTCTCGCCAATTCTTTGGATTTTCGGTCAAGTTCTGCACCGTCGTACTCTGCGCAGAGCTGCTGGCGGTGCTTTGAAACGAGCATGTCGCACTTTGTGAAAATAACGATGATAGGCACTAGAAAGTGGTTGTCAGCTTTTCTAGTCCTGCATTAGTCGAGAAGATTACAAAGCTCACCGTTTCCTCGATCCAGCTTAAATATCTTCTCGTCCCCGGTCTCGAGAATTCTCCCTCCTGCAATGGGGGTCGCTATGCACAGCCTGGTGTTATGACTGTCAGTTGTATTCGAGTTTGAAGCTGTGGTAGCACGCACCAGATGGCATGAAGCCTGTCCTTCTTGTTCGGCTTGTCCTTGCGTTCCAAGACAAATCGCTCGAGCGTACCGAGGTTGCCAGCTTCCCCGGGTTGGTACCCCTGAGAGTCGTGTAAAACAAACCTGGGGTTCTCTTTGGAGGACATTTCCTTGTCGATGGTTGCTTCCCCGGCTTTGAAGTCTTGGACAGACTGGATATCACGAGGATTAGCGAGTATGGGTACTCAGCCACTCAAGAATTACCGCAGCATCGATCTTGAAGATGGCGTTGATCAGAGACGACTTTCCGACTCCTGACTATTCCAAGGGTGAACATTAGGCTCGCGTGATGAGGCATGAAAGTTACCCTGCCGACAAGAAGGATACGGAATCTGATTTGAATGGATGAGTAGCGGCAAGCACTGTGAGCAAGAATGAAGAGCTACCGGTCGCATTCCTCGAAGATTTGGCTTGTGGTAGACCGGAGGGGGGGTAGATCGGATGGGGACGTTTCTTGAACCACTGGGTCAGCGGAACTCTGAGCAGGCTGGGACATATCAATATGGGGATGAGCAACGGAGGCCTCGCTGGGGCGAGCGCCCTAGTTCCTCTGCTTCAAATACGCCCATTCCAAACAGTGACAAAGGCACAAGGCAAACACATTCCCTTCATATCGGAGGAGTTTACTGGTTAAGCGCTGCGAGACTTGATTGTCACAAGATGTCCCGAACATGCGATATATGCATGCTGGCACTTCTTGTCCACAGCTTCAACACGGGGAAGAAATGTGCACAAAGGTTCAGTCTGTACACATTTCAGAATTCCACAGCGACACAGGCTGCGGTCACAATCGATCCAGAGGTCAGCGGACGGAACAGGCTTCAGCTTCGCGTTCAAGGATATACACCTCAAGGATTGATACGGTGATATGGGCATGCGGCAACAATATTAGAACACGGGTACCTGGAAGATCACGGTAAGAATGGCGAATTGACCGAGAGAATGAGGCTTCTCAAACCATAAAACGTAGCTCAAGGGTCATTCACACCCGTGGCTCATGTATGTCCCGACGGGTTCTGCACGTCGAGTGTACACCACCATACCGGGGGGATGTTTTCCAGAGGTCGATTCAGAGGCACGACAACGGTCTCGCACTCGAGGTCACCTTGTCATTGATTGAGGTCGGTTTGACGTACCTAGCGCAAATCAATTGAGCATCAACTGATCTCGTATGCCCGTGCGACGTTTGACACTCGGACCTCAACGAGACATTTCTTGCAACCTCCGGTAAAC